TTGAAATATAGTTATTTTACAACTTAATCTCAGGCTCAAAAAATTCCTCAAAGCTCTGTATAACCTATTCCATTGTCACTGTTTAGGTTTTTTTTTTAACTATGGTGTGTATTTACTCTCCTTGCATCAAAATTCTCTGTGCAGAGAAGGAATTATGTCTACAGTAACAGGCTGCGTTAAACTGCTTTTCCTCAGCTTAGTAACAATCCCTGCAGATGAAAACTGTCTTTTGTTAGCTGCACCTGATCACAAACAAATTACACACCATCAATGCAAGGTTTGGGAAGCGTTTTTTTTTTTTTTTTTTTTTAGATTTTTCAACCAGAGCATAACACCTAAAGCAACCTCCTTTGATTTCTTTAAATCAATGTAGGCTTCCTTGTGACATGCTTAAAAATTGCCATTATCCAGTCCAACTTGAATTAATAAAGAAATTGAATATAATAATGTTCAGTTATGTCATAATTCTTTTTTCTGCTACCCATTTATACCTATGGACATAAGTGTGAAAAAATACTACCTGTACCTGAGCATCTAGTTAAATATCACAGAACTGTCTGGCGTAGAAGCACTTGGGCGCTGAAGTGACTGGGGAATGAAGATGTTGAGTGTATGTGGACCAGATGTCTATGCTTTCATGAGAGAGAACAGCAAAGCTGTGTGTGTTCGAGAATGTATGTTGTAGGGTCATGGTGGTGATGTGTTTTGAAGGGGTTGCATGGCTGTTCTCTATTACCTTGATCAATTGAAAAAGGAGATGGTGTGTGTGTGTGTGTGTGTGTGTGTGTGTGTGTGTGTGTGTGTGTGTGTGTGTGTGTGTGTGTGTGTGTGTGTGTGTGTGTGTGTGTGTGTGTGTGTGTGTGTGTGTGTGTGTGTGTGTGCTCCTGTCTGGGCATTACAGTAAAAAACATTTTTCTAATTTCAATATCAAATTAATGACCTTTTGTTGCAAAGTGAAGATATTTTGCTAGTTCTCAGGAGGTGTTAGGTTTAGGGCTAAGGTTTGAAATAGGTTTAGTTTAGAGTTAGAGTGAGGGTTGCACTGGTAATGGTTTGGTTTAGGGTTATTTTTGTTAGAGCAAACAAAGGGTTAAAAATGACTGAAAACCAATGAAAGTGAATAGGAGTCAACACATTGTGATCACTACCTACAGTCAGAAAAGAAGGTGTGAGTGGATTTTGGTGTAAAGAAGATCTAAAATATTATACAAAAAATTTGCCATCCTTTTTTCTTTGTAATACTAGTAAAAGACTTGATAGTCAGAATATTTAATAAGGAAACACGTTTTCATAGACAGGTTGCAAAAATGAACTAAGGTTATCAACTGGATGTCCCAATAGAGTCCACTCATTGCTGGATCCTTGTCCTTTTTTTGGTTTCTCCCTCATTCATGTCTGCTAGTGTTTAGGTTCTTGACTTTTCTAACCAGTTTTGGACTTAGGATCTTGTATCTCATGTTTTTATTTAATTTTGCAAGCTATTTTTTCTGCCTCCTTCTACTCTGTATTTGGGTCCGCAAATACAGAGTAGAAGGAGGCAGAGAAAATAGCTTGCAAAATTAAATAAAAACATGAGATACAAGATCCTAAGTCCAAAACTGGTTAGAAAAGTCAAGAACCTAAACACTAGCAGACATGAATGAGGGAGAAACCAAAAAAAGGACAAGGATCCAGCAATGAGTAACTGAACCGGAGATGTATATATGGGAGACAGAACAATGGGAGGAACGATTGGCTGATAGGGGGCGGGTGGAGACAGAATTAAATACAAAAAATATGTAAATTTAGAGAACAACACCAAACAAAACAAAACATATTTGAGAACCCAAAAAGTAAAAACTTAATAGAAACAAAAGTTCAACAAAGTAAGATCATAACACTGGGACTATAAAAGAAAATGTTGATATAAAACTGTTTTTGATGCATAGTATAAAATTACTAACAAATATTTTTTAATTGATACAAGCCACAACAAAAGTTGTTGTTGCAAATTTATCGTATCTGTAATTTGTTTTGTTTAAGCCTAAGATATCACAAGTGATAAACATTTTTTCGTTATGTTTTCTCAATAAAATATTTTAACTTGTGTAGCTTGTTTGCTGTTGAAGACTTTACTTTTGAAATAATCGTTTTTTAAAGTCTATAAACATTTAATGAGATTCATTTGTCTGTAATCCTTTGTGAAAACTGCTCTTTAGAGGATACAAAATTTATTTCCAAATTATGGATAAACTGAATATAAACCACACCTTAAATTTAATTTAAATGGCTTTTCCACTTCAATAACTTGTGACAAGTATCTAGTTATTTTAATGTAATATTTTTAATCTTACTTGTATAGTCATGGCATTTCAGGCATCACATTATCGAGAGCTGCCTACTTGTGCTAGAGCAGCTGTACCTAACTAAAAGAATATCTAAGGAATGTTTCCTAATAGTTTGATTAACTTTATTAAACTAGAGATACAGCTGGCCTCAAAGTAGACCAAAGCTTTTCAAAGCATTGGCCTCCACTGTGGCAACAATAAATCTGCACTTGAAAATGTGTGATAAAACATGCATTTGTACACAAAAAATAAATTAATAAATCGGTGCCCAGAGAAAGCATTAATGGATTAGAATAATTGGTGAATAATCAACTAATTTGAAATAGGAACATTGATCATTTAATCGGGTACCAAACTAATCATGAGTTACTGCCTGAGTTCAGAGTCAATAAACTGATGGATTCTGGTTTTGATGCTGGGAAACACACATTGTTTAATGCTTGATTTGCTTCCTTATGCTATAATCATTCCATTAGGATTACTGAAACAACATTAAAAGACCTGAAGGGGAATATAGCTGCATAACAGCTGAGGGAGCTTAGGATAAAGTTGTAGCTACTCTATGTGTTTTAATTAGGATTATATGTCCCTTTTAAAGGATCCTTTCTCCAAAGCCCTTCTGGTTTAGAGCCCTATAGGGTTACACAAGATTAAAAGCACTTTTCCATCTTTACCCTCTGATACATCTTTGAAATTGTGCTGGGCTCCACGTCTCTGGAACATTTTACCCCCCGCTCCAAGCTCCCAGAGGGGACTTGGAGGGGGATGGTGGGGTATCAATGCAAGCTTAGGTTGCTATGTTGTGCACGACTTTTTTCTTTTTCCTCATATTTGCAAATTTGCTTTGTTTTTGCGCACTAAATAAACATTGTTGGTTTTGCCGTTTTTGTTTAGAAAAATTCCTTTCATCACACGTTACAGTTTAAGGCTTTACTGCGTTCTCCAAGTTTGATACAACAGGCCTGTGTCCAATCAAACAGATCTTCCCCTGTGACCTTTGACCTTTACTCCCATGAGAATGAAAAAGGTACTGGTTTCAAACCAAGGTAGGAGAGGGGGTTAAGGCAGGCTGTCTCTGTCTGCAGACTGCTCAGTACCCCTCTCTCCACCCCCACTGGTTTCTTCTTGAAACCAGCTCCATTCTAAACACTTGAAAATCCTCCACATATGCTAACAATTTGCTTTCACAACTTGCTCTGGATGAGAATGACCCAGAGACATGAGCGCACACACAAACACAGCAGAGAATGCTGAGCCAACATGTAGGTACACCCATATGAGTGCATTCAGTCTCTTGGCTCGTGCTTGCACACAATGTTCCCAGTAAACATAGAATTGAAGCAAAACAACAAAGTTCTCGATGTTATGTATTTACATCTTTTTCTATTTTGCACACATGCAAAGATAAAAAATAAGAGATTTTTGTTTCTATTCATTGGTACCATAATGCCACTGTTTTTTGCTATTTGTTCTTTAAAATGTAAAATATTCAGTCTGTAAAAAAAAACAAAAAAAAAAACACTGTAAGTTTTATATGCATCTAAAGGTTTCCGGAGCCCTACGCTTTACTAATATACCGAACCATATTCAGGCAGGTTTTGTTGAAATTAAGCCTTTTACTGTATAAAGATATCAATGAAAAAAAAACAAAAAAAAAAAACAGAACACTATTTTTTTATTTCTTTTGTCTAATGCTCTTTTAAATGGATGAATGGAAAATAATCATAATTCTTCAATAAATAATAGTCCACAATGTGCTGTCAGCAAGCATTCTAAAACATTTGCTCAGACAAACTGTTAAAGCTCTGTATTGCTTGCAGATTAAGTAAAATGCAAATATAAAAAATTGTACCTCACTAAAGTATTAAGATTCTTAGATTTTTTAACGATTTTTTCCCCCCATGTTTTATCAACAATTCTTAATGTAGTTTATGAGGACATTATGCAATAGACTCCAAGTTAACCGTTGACAACAGGAAGGCAAATGATATATAGCATTAATGAAAAAATTAAATGGGCCTGAATATTTCAGCCCCTTTACTTTAGCCAACTTTGAGCTGCAGCTGTTTGGAAAATGTCTCCACCAGCTTGGCATTTATGAATAAATCTACAGGTTTGCGCCACCTCTGTCACACCTGATCAAAAGCATCTGTGAACAGTATTTTTTAAGTCCTACCACTAATTCCTAATTGTAGTAGTCTGGACCTTGATTGGACCATTTGAACATATTAAAATGATTGCTCTAGGATGGATAAAACATTTTTGAATTAAATTAAAGTAAAAAAATTGACTAAGTCAAATGTCATGGTGGCCTTTACTCAGAATATTCCCTCTGCTGATCCATTTGACGCCATTATCAGACACATAAGGTACCTCTTTGTTTTTTCCTATTTGCAAATAATAAATGCACAGAAAAATAACATCAACTTGTAGAGGAGCATGTCTTGTAAAGAAGTAAATAACTTTAAAATGCTGTTAGAGGAGAACTTCATTTTGGCAAATGACCGTTTTCATGTAAATATTTGATCTGCTGGATGCATTCTTTACCATTTTACACCTACGCTACACTTCTCTCTCTTTGGCATTGGAGGAGCTGAGCTATGGGCGGCAGATATTCGGATGGATGTACATGCTCGCCTTGTAAACATGTGACTGGAAAACAAGACTGATGGTGTGTGATGTCACACCATATTCTACTTCAAAAGATACCATTAGTTTTTCACATAACTGTTTTCTAGTTAACAGAAGGGTTAAATAATTTATTGACGAAGAGGTAAGTGTTTTTTCTGGGCTTTGGAAAAGGATCCAGGGGACCAGTGAGGAATAAAGTTACATAATAGCAGAAAAAGAAGAGATAGTGATGAAGAAGAGGGAACTGATTTTTACTGTTTGTGGACATGATGAAGGTCCAGGAGGAAGATGAGTACACCCACACAGGGTGAGTTTGGCTGATTGTGTAGGTTTACAATAATAATTTGTTTTTGTTTTTTCATGGAGATGTTATTGGAGTGTTGGATCGTGGACAAGCAGGTGAGTTGTCCTAATTGAGTAAGAAAACGTTTTGGCAGAGGATCCCGTTGAGCAGCCTGGGTAGATAATCAGAGGGATTTCCAGAGTTCTTCATTGGACTGTGAGGATTAAGGGTCATGGACGGAAATCCGGAGCAGAGCCAGGGACTGGATACGATGGGATCTACAAGGCAGGACACAAGGAGGTAAACAAAAGGGCATCAGAAGATCATGAGCAAAGGTAAGAGCTGACCACCACTCTGGAACAATGATCTGGCATCTGCCAAACTTGTTCCTCTTAAGCTCCTTCTGATTTATCTTAATGGGCTACAGATGTGCAAAGTAACCTTATGGTTAGACTCTGTAAATGCAAAAAGGTGAAGCACACAGACAAGCACAGCCTGCATGCAGCTTGTAGATATGAACAATAAAAAAAGGAAACCCTGTTGTTCACAGGATTACTGTTACATCAATGTATGAAAATGTGTCTTTTAAGTCTGTTTCTGTTAATTTAACAAATAAGCAAATAATGAGCAACAGATGAAATGAAAATGAAAAAAAATTATATGTCAGATGAAAACATGTGAAAACAGGTGCAAGTGTGCAAATTGCTGTGAAGGAGAAAAGCTGTGCATTATGCAGCTAAAGAAGACATAAACCTTCACAAAACCTTGATAAAACACAACATCCATGAATGCCGCTTTGCAATAATGAACATCTTAATGGGGGGGGTGGGGGGGTAACAAGGTTGGGTTGCTTAATTTCTTTTGGTAATTCTTCGAACAGGTTTTAGTTGGCAAACACATGTGTTTCTCCCCTCGCTGGCCATTAAAGATTAACAGTCTTTGTAACAACATGTGTGCTACATAAACAACAGTTCAGTTAATTAGCTAACAGTGATCTCTATCCCAGGACTAATTTCTTAAGTGCCTCTCAGGTGGACATGGGGCTTTGTTTTAACTGATTTCTAAATGGTACATCTTGCTGTTAGAAAGAAGTGGCTGTGGGGTGCACTGGATGTTCTGAAAATGAGCAGAAGAGAAGGAAATATTGAAGAGCGATATGCTGCCTTATTATTATAACTGCACAATCAATGAGTAAGGGCTAATAATTTGTAGGTAATCATTACATTACACTCTGATAAAGACCAATTTAGAAGAAACCTTAAAACTTGTAACCCTTTCACTTTTAGCTGTGACACATTGTGCAACACCTTTGTCTTTTATCTTTATAAATTCTAATCCTACAGTATTTTAATCAGGGAGAGCAGCTAAAACAGACTAAGCACATCATACCTCTTTTACAACCATGTGAAATAGGACATAAAAATGACATTAAATACACATGTATTTTATCCATGTCCCTGTTATGAGACGGCATTTAATTATCTATATTTGGAGCAGAGATGGTTGAGAAGAGATTCACACCAAATGTGTGAAAACACAGCTGCTGTAAAACAGGATTTTAATATTTTTAAACAACTATAATGATTACAGAGTAGAGATTTTGAACAAGCTTTAGGAGAAAGGTATAATAGGCTTGCATCTCTAAGTTAGCAGTCTCTATGCATGTTAAATACTTTCCCTTAGTGACATCTCTAACTTATTAAAGCCCTGCACATCAACTCCAGAGCCTATATTTAGTTTATCAGCTGTTGCACCTTATTTGTGGCCTTACTGTTATTGTCTTATGCTGGGCTGAGAACTGTTTAAAAAGTTTTGCTTTAATCCTATATGCCCTTTTTTACTTTAAATACTTAATTTATTGTTTCTATTTAATAGTGTTCATTCTCATATTGCGTTATGTTTTACTATGAAGTACTTTGTGGATGCATCTGTGAAATTTCTAATCCAATCTAATCCATTTTTTAAGCACTTAAAAACAACCACAGCTGACCAAAGTGCTTTACAGAAAAAAAAATTAAATAAAACATAAAACAGTACTGATTAAACAGCTGTAATGTGTGTAAAACATTCATATGATCAAATCAATAAAATTGGGTAAAAGATAAAATTAATAAAAGGAAAAACGATCTATTTAAATAACGTTGATTTTTTTATACCCGCATATTGTTCCTATGATTTTCATTTCATTTTTATCTCACTAAAACTCTAGATGTCTAAATATAAATCTTAAAAAATGAGCTCCAGACCAAAAAATGTTGCTGTGAAAAAAGTCTGATAACACTCACTAAAACTCTTTTCTGTTTCAGTTTAAGAAAACCCAAAGTGACCCAGTGAAAAGGAATGCAATCAAGCTAACTAGTTGATTTCTTATTGCATCTCTAGTCTGTGCAAAATAGGGGTATGCAGAAGACATTCTGTATATTACGTTACACATACAAACCCCAATTTTCTTACTAGTAAAATGAATTATACCTTACGCTGCATTTTCCTAAAATGTGACATACATTATATATGAACACCAACACAGATGCACACACATGCATGCACACTCAAACACTGGCCTCCAGTTCTGCCACGGGACGCTGTTTTCCAGCTGTTTAAACCACAGCTCAAATTAGCTGCTCAGCCATTGGAAGGAAAGGCAGGCAGGATACCAGTAATTACTGTCTGATTGGAAGAGCTGCTGCAATTAGCAAGTTTAAGGTTTGAAGATTTGCATACATATGAAAAGCATTTGCAACGCAGTATTGCGAAAAAACCTCTATTATACAATACATTTTCCAAGTACCGAGTATAAAAAGGATAATCCTACAGCACTCATGTAAATAACAAACATCTCTGCGGAGACAATACTGCTTCAAGGAATAGGGTATTAAATTCTGCTGCATCTGTGTGCGCCCCAGTCATGTAAACACAACTGCAACAGTGCCGGTCATGGATATAACAGTGTAGAGGAATCTCTTTGCTTCCACCCCTGCAGTACTGTGGAGGCTCTCAGCAGTGGTCCTCCCTTATCATAGCACATTTAACAGGGGGCTAATCCAATCAGGTGGGATAACAGGGTTGCTCTCGGTGAGTGGAGGAGGATCAGGCGAGCGCTTCTCTGCTTCCCATTAGTGTGTGTCTCCCCAGCCGGGCCTATCCTAATCCCATTTCCCCATCTAAAGCCTTAACCCAAACAAGCACGCAGGACAATAATCTCCGGTCACACTTCTGCCGGCCGCCATGGGCCTTCTGATGCTGTTAATGGAGCAGCAGTGCCAAGAGACTGCCGGAGGGACTAGATGTGGTTTGTTGTTTGCCAAAGAACCATAACATCTACAGCTTTCTTTCTTTCCTGCTCCTCTGTTGTTTGTCTCTTTCTCTTTTTAGTAGTACAGTTTATCTCTTGGTGGTTTGCGTTTCCTCCATCCCACCAAACACATTTAGCCACAGGGGTCTGGTCCTCGCAGGGATCACTTTTCCAGTTTGGCGTGACTGCAGTGCTATTATATAAACACATTTGATTTTAAGAAATCCTGCATTTCACAATCCTCTGAATTTTATTTGATTGATTAAAAATCTGCATCACGAGAGAAAAAGAGGTTTGGAACTAAGGTTTTGAACCTACCAATGATCTGCGATAGAAAATAAGGGCATTTTAATTTGTTTCAGTACTTTCACATAAAGAACAGTTTGGCTCTCTGTTCTTGTCTTTCTGTCCCAGTCGAAAGCACATGTGCCCCAGATGCAAAATTTTGATCCAAACCCAGGCTCATCTAAACGCCACCCTGTGCGTCTCAGATCACTTACACTCTTTCCAAAGGCATTGGAAAAAAAGAGTCATCCAAAACTCTCTTTTTTTTTTTGTTTCAGTGAGAAGAATGTAACCCAGCTGAAATATGCTTTAGACAATAGCGGTATCTCAAATACTGCTTTTCATCTTAGCATCTTTGTCACATATGTAGCACACTAGAAACATCAATATGTGATTACTTATATAGGTTACCAGTGAAGGCATTTTTTGGGCAAAATGGTCTCTGACTAAGCTTCCCTCTGGGTTCCAGTATTTAGCTGTACAACCATAAACTGGCTTCAATATCTTCATCATGTTTTTTTTTAAATAAAGACATAATTTCCTTTTCATGGCTTGCAAAACTCTATTTTAGACTAGCACATTATTGTGTTGGGTGGATGAGTCTGTGTGTTGAACAATTTCTTACCTTTATCATTAAAAAAAAGACTATATTGTTTACTATACTGTAGTCTCCTGGTTCTCTCTGTCCAGCTGTATCTTTGCATCGGTACTATAGCTGTACAGTAGAGCACCTTAAACATTAGTTATTCAAATAAATGACATTCAAAGCAAAGGACAACTTATTCTGTAAGTTTTCTCCATGTGCGCATACCTGTAACAGCATTGAAATGTGTTACCCATCAAATTTTTAAACAAATTTTATAAAGACAAAGTGTAAATATTGAAATTTCACTTTAAGAAAAAGTATACCGTACAGTACTTCCAACCTGTTTACAAGTTGTCATATTCTAAAGGTACTAATCTGACAGTATCATATCTTCGACTAAGCTTCCCTTTCTATTCCAGTATGTATGTTTCCTGAATTCAGCATATTTATTGTAAATACTGGATCCATTGTTTGGTAAAGGTAACTAATAATCTTGAAATTCTTACAACCTACCACTGAGACTCTATGGTGGTTTAGGGGTTTGAAATGAAAAGTTACCAAATTTCTTTTATTCTTTTTTTTTTGTCTTTATATATTCTTTAAATATGATGGTATTGTATTCTTAGGTAGTTTTTTAAGTGGTGTAAGCATAATCAATCAACTGGTCAACAAAGTAATTTTGTTCAAGAGAAAGAGAACTTGGGTACCAAACTTTCTGTGCACTTTTTTGGCCATCGCTATGGCTGTTGGAAAATCAGCAAAGAATGCAGAAAGCAAATCTGCTGGGTTATACACACTTGAGAATCATTCATCCAATCTGCTTGATAACTTTTTTCTCTGCTGTAATTAATTTGCTTGGCAATCACCAATGACTCCATGATGATAAAGTAAGAGTGTTATAAGCAAGCTCAACCCAAAAGGTTTCCTGACGGAAAAGAAATGATAAAAAAGATCTTGTTATGTTTCAAGATTGTAGACAGTTGTGGTATGTGGTTGCTGGAGAAAAAATGTCTCTAATCTAAATGATCAGAAGCAATCAGGCCCTAGAGTCAGCCAGCTGCAAGTGCATGACCCCCTTTTATCTACTGGATTTTTACAAACTTGAAAACAAGTATAGGTCTCTAGTTTACTTTGCAACAATCTTGGTCTATCCTTTAAGTTTGAGATTTGATTGAGAAATGACTTTTTTCCCCCACTATTAGCCCTTTTTAACCATCTGTCAATTATACTAGAGGTAAACTTAAGGTCCACTGTTCAATCTGTCCAGCTAGCAGACAAATTTGTCTGGATGTCTACACATTCCAGCTACATTCCTCACCTGCCTGTTCACCCTCCAACGATCTGAAGGGAGGTTTGTTTGCCTGATTGCAGGTTGTGACTGGCAGGTGTGTGCTCACACCTGGAGCTCGTCAAGCTCAATCAAGAGTAACCTAAAGAGGAACAGATGCCCAGAGGCAGACGGCAGATTGTTTTGCTGTATGAGTATTAATGTCCTTTGGTTTGTTGCTTTCACATTCTTTAATGTTAAGAGCTTTCCCCTTGTTGTACTTCTGTCAGGAGAGCCTGTTATCAGTCTATGGAATTTAGTCTTCTAGCTCGTTGCCCTCAGAGTTTGTTGGATAATTTGCCTCAAGCCTCCTCCATAAAGGTCCTTACTGTTCCTCTGGTTGCTGCTCTGGATTAGCTTCATGGACTCTTACAGATTGCACCATCACTCACTTTCCTGTCCACCCTCCAATGCTGCTCTGTCATCTCCATCTCCTACTTGATGAAAGAGCAAGAATCCATTTCCAACATGTACTGCTTACCACAACCTGCAAAACCTTCCCTCTCTAGTTATACTGACCCCCTCCCTGAGCCTCTTTTCCTCATTAGTAAGAAAACAACTTTTTAACCACCTCTATCAACAAATTGAAATGTCACCACTAGCAGGTGTCAGAAGTTACACTCTTACTGTTCATTCAAAGAAGAAATTGTTAATTCTAACAACCCCCACCCTCCCCCTTTTGAACCAAGGATATAATTTATTTATTTACAACTGTCAATAAAGCATTGAAATTTTTGTTGTCTTGAGTTGTTGTCTATACAAGGGGTTCCATCAGAAACCACCAAGACAGTGTTCATGTCGTCCCAATGGAAATACCCTATGTGTAAAGTAAGAAATTGTTTTTACTGCCAAAGATTATAGCATTTTTAGGATCAAGTATACTGGAAACAGTTTAAAAGGGGATAAATCTGATCATTTGAAATAAGCTTTTATGAAATTATTGTCAGTTATAGTCCCCTGACCTGTAGTAGAATGGACCTACTGTGCAGTGAGTTACCAATTTCAGATTTCTTTATGCATTACTGGCATAGTGGTAGATAGATTAATGCATTTATAAATATGCCACACTGTAGCCCAAGGCCAATTTTTATCCATTTGTCTCTTATGTTGATGTTTTATAACACAAGGCAGTATAAATATAATAAAAATTCACCTAAAGGAGAACTTGCAAACCATCAGCAGTATACAGTAAACCTCACAAATACATGTCTAAAACTTTTGCAGATTTCAAGTACAGAGTGCATTACACAGTAATGCCTAAAACTATACTTAATGTATGAAACTATACCTAGAAATTTATGTCCATTCATGTTTTGCTTCTGTTCACTTTTCCCCAATGTTTCCTTCCTGATGTAACTAGGTGAAATCTTTATCTATATTTTAAATGCTTCATTCTTGCTATTTCTAGCCTTGCAAAAACTCTGTGTTGTACTCAACAAGAGGGTTTGGCTTTTCCATGTGTCAAACTTTTATTCAAAGTACTAGGTGTATGAAAAAATGTTGGCATTGCAATTGGGAAGCGTCACCATCTCCAACTGTTAAGGAATTACTTTTGCCCTCAGAACAGTATGGTGCCTGTGGATCAATTTCCTGATGCTCCCCTTTCAAAATATACTCAGTGGTCTCGGTGGAGGTGACACCGTGTGCATGGGGGCAAAGAGAGGGAAAGTGATGGAGGAGCAGAGCGTGGCCCTGGAAGTCTCCACCTGGTGGGGTGGTTGAGGGCCAACAAGAAGCCCCCACAGAGCACAAAGCTCGCCTTGTGTAAGATAAGCGTTCAGCACTGGGAGGGCCTTACGGCACTATTTTCATAATCAGAGTCAGTTTGTTTTCTTTAGGCCTCAGAGTCTGAGGCTGTCAGTAGAGCAGCTTGCTGGCAGTGTTGGAGGTTGGGTTTGGTAGCACCCATGGAGGAGAAAGGGGGTCTCTTCTGGGGGTAGGTCAGGGGTTTTAGTATTTACCTCCTGTTTGGCTTTATTTGCTTACTTTACTGATCCCCGGTCCCCTCAGACAGATTTCCACTTTAGGTTAAGTTTAGGTGTTCCTCATCTTCCATCCTGACCCAGCAGCTCATTATCCGTCTTCTAAACTCTTATTTCAGTTTTATAACTTTTAGATAAATAAAATATAAAATTTTAACAAATACTCTTACTGAACTCTAGAGTGAATAATTATTTAATCATAAATAATAAGTCTGTAATGCTCAAATTAATCCTGAACATTTCCTTCAAATCATCACCATGCAAAACACCCATGTTTTTGTTTATTTCCTATCCTTTGGCAGTGCTGTTGTGTAATATTTTTGACTGTTTATAGTGAAAAACCACTGTGCAAAACATTCTGAGTTACAAGAATCTTTTTCTTGGTAAAGGCTATTTGGAAAAAGTGCCACACTTTAATTAGAAACAGAAGATGAAAATCTTCCAGCACATATTGTCAATACCAAAAGAACACAAAGTACTGTGGAGAAAAAAAAAATTATATATATATATATATATATATATATATATATATATATATATATATATATATATATTTTTTTTTTTTTTTTTTTTTGTTTTTTTTTTATTAGATAATATGACAACGGTCAGAAACACTCATTCTAATCCAAGGTTACCTAATTTTGAGTTTAAATCCCATCAGTTTTGTTGCAAACAGGTTTCCTGATTTTGCTTCTCTTTCCACAGTAAAACTTGGCTGAGCAGAAGTGGCTGTCCGCCAGAACTCGTCTCAGCTCACCTCCCAGAAGACTCCCAGCCCTACAGAAACAGGAAAGGGTAATAGTTTTGCACTGGTTTTCCTCGCTGCTATCTGTATCCCCATTACGTTTTCATTCACTGAATGAAAAAGGAGGAAAAGCAGATGTCAATTACATGTATGTGGAAAAATAGACTTTAGCCAAAAAAAAATTCACAAATATGCATTGTACCTTGCAGCTTTATAATCTATGGGTGAAAAAAGAAACTTTTTTAACCATACAATGCTGTATTTACACCAACTTTTGGGTAAAAGGAAATAATGCATGGCTCTCAATTCTTGGCAATAAAAAATCCAGAAAAGTGTAGCATACATTTGTAGCCAGCTTTAGTTACGTTTCCGCTGTAAAATCTTCTATAACAACCAGTGCAACCCCTATACCTTTATAAGTTATCTAACCAGTAAAAACACCCAAATTAAATTGAACACAAATAAAATACAAAAGCCTCAGGGTTTTATTTGGTGAACATTGATTAACAGCTGGTGCATAGTAATAGGAATGGTGCACAGTAATAAAGTCGGAGAGATGGTCGTGAAGAACTTTAAAACACAGTTAGCTTATAATAAAACATTTCTACAAACTACTGGGCATTTGATAATTCAAAAATCATGGATGAAAATAATGCAAATGTAAAAATACCGATTATAGCTTCTCCAAAACATGCCTGTAAGCAGGCGAGGTCAACCGGGTAAGTTTTCTACTGTTACAGCTGTTAACATTGACTAGCTAACAAAAAAACCAAAACAAAAATAACTCATAAAATTTGTATTTTCAGTTGATGGTTGACAAGTTTGGTTGGTTTTCCAGTGCTGTCAGTGTGAAAGGTTGCTGCAATATTAACACAAAAATTTACGCTAATGTCTACTGACCAGGAGGAGCAAATAGCAAATCCTGCAGAGTCAATGGATCAATGCAATCAGCTGGGTTTCCTTAGACATAACACTGAAATGCCTTGAGAAGACATTTGGTGTTAACTGGTGCTAAATAAATCACAATTGAAATGAATAATCCTATTATAAGCTTAACCCTTAAACTGGTGGGACTCGATTAAAAATTGTAATCAAGTTAATTAAAGGGTCTTTAATTAATTAATTACAATAAATCATATTTTAATCGTAAACCATATAAGAAAGAAATAAACAGCCTTTTAAATGAAAAAAAAAAGGAATGAATAAACATAGGGGCACAGCAACACAAATAGTAATTGTTTATAATCCATTGTTTTGGTAATTTAACCACCAAATTGGTTGAAAGTTTTTCAGAAACCCCTGATATTTTCTGCAACTTGTTTGAAAAACTACTTTAAAAGTGTAAACTAAACAGTGCATGAACATGAATTATATAAGAATTCCTTCCAACGAATATGTAAAAAAATATATAGCAACAAGGCATATACAGTAATAGTGTTGGGATCTGGAGGTCTGTCCACCTTTCTCCTACAGAGGGCGTTCTAGGTCTCCTGGAGCTGGAGCTGACTTCACACCTGCGGCTCGTTTGCTGTCAAAATCTCTGACTCCCTGATAACCTGAACCTGAACCTAACCTGTTTTTGTCCTCTCTGCTTCCCAGGAAGAACCTGTCTGAACCCTGAAACTCTGGAAGTGTTTCTCAGTCTGAAACCAGCCTGTCTGATCTCTGAAGAACTCTGGAAGTCAAGTCTGTCAGATACCTGCCTGCCCGCTCTCAGAAGAAACTGAAAGAGAAACACAGATCCGAATCTGCAAGATCACAAACCAAGCTCTGCCTCTGCCTTGCCCTCTGCCTGCCATCAGCCTCTGGACCCTCCTGTTTCCCCCCCTCTGCAGCTCTGCTCAAACCTCTGCAGAGAAACCAGTCGTGACCAGTCCTGGACCTGATAACCCCCAGAATCAGTGCTTTATTCTCATTGTGTCAAACAATAAACTGTTGAACTTTTTCCCAGAGTCCATGTGTTCTGCATGTGGGTTAGAAACCTTAAAACAAACATGACAAATAGTGCCATTAAGAGATTAACATTTGGTGTTAAAAAAAAAAAAAAAAGTTAATATTTGATTATAAAAAAACCTTGCAAATCTTTAGATGCATCTTTAGAAGATCTTTAGATGTATTCTGAATGAGCATCTTTAGGGGTCTATTTCAACAAAATGAAGCTCTGCAACATGCTGACTCAGGTTGACAAAATAAAAATGCCAGCAAACTTTTTATATATATTATTAGCAGAGAAAACTTATGTTATGCATCGTACTTATATTTCATATTTGTGTTGGTTAAGATTACAAAAATCTAAATCAAACAAATTTAATATATTGTATCAAAATGACAAAATGTTTTCTTTAACATACAGTATAAAATCAAAAAAATATAAAAATTAGATTTTTTTTGTTCTTGAATAATACTGTAAAGGGATTTTTTTTCCTCTTTAATCAAAATATTATATTTGTAAAGAAGATCATGAGCAGGATTAACTGCTCTTTACCAAGAGAATATATAATTTTTCCAATAAGGAAAAAGAAAGCAGATAATTTGAGAAACGTAAAACAGCCTGAGGCAAGAGGGTCATAAGTGTCTGTTTCTGCTGAAACTGCAACCTCTCTCCAGAAGGTGGACAGACGTTTAACCAGACACACTAAAATTTCCGTTAAGAAGTCCCTTCTACCCTGTCCAAGCCTGTGGTGAAGCCACCCAAGTCTAGTCATATCAGTTGGATCTTCTAACTAGGCCCATCGGACAGTGCCAGGTTTTTATAGTAAATTGCGGGACAAAACCACAGCTAAATAAAAAGAAGATAGGCTTCCTCTGACTTCATAACATTCTGTGGTCTAAATTTTCCTGTGAGTTCTGTTTTGCTTCTGACTCTTTCCATGCAGTTTTCTCTTTCATCTTAGTTCAAAAATGCAGCTGGATGATTCATTCCTCTTCATAGTTTTTAGCCAGTCTCTTCAACCCTTAAAAAAAATGTTTTTACTTACAGATTTGAAATCAAAGATTTATCATGATAAAAATCCTTATCTGTTCCGAAAATCTCTAAATCGACTGCATTCAATATATAGATTTTCCTTAATTCTTCTTTTTTAGTTTTTAAGAAAATTTTATATTTTTCTTTCGCTGTTCTATAGCTCATCCATGCAGTAAAATTTGATCACTGTATCTAGTTCACTTTCTACAGAGAGGCAGTGATTAGGCTCAAGATAACCCTTGCTATCCACAGATGTGGACAGATTCAGCCAAAAGCACCAGCTCTCTTTTCCAAAACAGAGCTATAAAACTCTGCCTGCAATAAGTAACCATAAAACCAAAACATCTCTTTTTCTAACTGTGGAATCAGCCGTGAAGCTGAGTCACACAAGGGGTCTTCAAGGGACCACTCTGGCCTGATTGGATGGAAAACCTTCGAGTAAGCAAAGTTTGTATTGGATTCAGAAACTTGTATGTAGAATGAGTCATACAGTATTGCATAGTGTGTAGATTCACATAGTTTCTCTTTAGTATTTTTAGGCACACATCCCAAAGAGGCCCATTATGTAAATACAGATGCACTGTATAAAATTACTGTAAACATTACTCTAAAGGCCCAATGTTACATTTGTTATAGCATTTCAAAACAAATACCTTAACAGCAGAGTTACAGTGTTTCTGCAAACTAGTCTTTATAGCTCTGAGGGTTAAAGAGAACAAAGTACAGACAGTATGTTCTCATTCCCAAGACTGACTTCATTCTTTTGCTCCAATCCTGTGTAGTTTCAGTTAATATGCAATATGAGTCATTTCTGATGAATCAGTTATGTTATGATCTTTAAAGCTACAATATGTAATTTTCAGTGATATCTAATGGTCAGACTGCAGTGACATGAACTGCCCACCACACTAGCTTCAACTGCCTCAGCCCTCCCACAACACGGAGGACGTGATGGTACAAATAGGCTCCAGCAACGGCTGCTTTACCTACCTGGTCGAGCGATGACCTTTTATGGACATTAGATCACAGCATCAAACCATGAATTATTCAATAGTGCTGTTTAAAGTATGTTGAAAGGCAACAAATTTGGAAAGACATACAAGTTGTTAAATTGAATTGGAAATTGAAAAATAATGTTGAATAGATACAGTAAAGCGGGGAATGCTTTCAAGAGGTTTGTGAGTGGCTTTTATAAAATTTTATTTAGTCCTCAAAGGACTGTTTCATATCCCACCTCCAGCACAGACACCAACCAGCTGATCCCTCCTCTCATTCTGCTCTGCCGCTCATTCCGCCCGCAGGCTTCTCTGATCCTCAGCGGCCCCTTCGACCAGCTCCAGTGGTTAGCAGCAAGCTTCCGCCTCTGTCTCCATGGCTCCATGGCCACAGACGGCAATATAGCATCCCGGTTTGTCCCGTTCTGGAGTTCTCTTAGCCACTGAACAGAAACGCCATCTCCCCTGACGTTGTTGTCCAGGTGATTCATCTCTATGTTTTGGGCACTCTGACCAAAACAAACATGGATCGAGAGCAGGAGAAAGATGCAAGTCTTACCCTAACCCAACCCTAATTTCACACCTTAGTCCTAAACCTATGCCCTTAGTCCTAAACCTATGCCCCACCAAGAGACCGGGACTTTTCCTTATGGGGAATATAAGGAGAAGTTGGTCAGCACAAGTACCTATAAGTCCCCAAAATTTAGCCTATTTCTGGAAAATTGTTCCTGCAGAGTGGCAAAAACACATACACACACCCAAAAATCCATATAGTATGTTTTTAAGTGGCAGTTTTGTCATGTAGTATGACCTGGAGAGGCGCTAGAGGGCCTGTGGAAGGGCTATGGCCTGAGTCCTGCTGTGGCCTGAGGCCTGCTGACACCTCTCTGTTGAAATGTTTATTTATAACTCTCCCCTCCAGCTCCACCTTCCTATCGTCTGCCAGCCACCATGCCAATCCAAACATGCCAGACCTCTCTAGACTGATCCAGAGCATGATTTCAGAAAGAAGAGATGCCTTTCCCTCCTTTTTCTCCCCTTCTCCAGCCCAAACTGCCTCCCTTTCCTGCCTCCCACTTTTTTAAAGAGTGACACTTTGGGGGGACATAACCAAGCATGCATTGAAAGGGAGAGGAAACGAAGGAGGAGAGAGGGCTGGAGAGATGGGTAGATAGAAGAGAGGAGGGGGGTAGAGGTTGACTCCATGCTACATAGGCTGCTAAATTGGTTTCAGAACAGCAGTTTGGCTCAGGGGATGTGGCACACAATGCCAACTAGCTGCATTTGCTTTTCTTGAGTTTAGGAAGTTTGATCACCATCCTTGTTGCCAACCCACATCCCACCTATCATCAGCAAACCAAGAATGAAGGGGGAAAGAGGACAGCCATTCCTAAACTGGTATCAATGATACTTCTCTCATTAGAAAAACAAACACTAACTCAGAATGTAGGAAAAAGAGCACATTTCCCTCCAATGAAGTCATACCACATGAGGAATCTTCTGGTAAGTCAAGAAATAACTTGTCAGAGGTAGGTGAAACAATATATTGCACTCTTTGAGTCCAAATTTGAAGACTAATTGTGTTCAATTAGATCAGGTATTCTAAAGCTATTTACCTAGACACTGGAAGACCGAAAGCAGTTATGGGGAAATGCAAAGCACCTAAAAAAACTCAGGTGGGTTGAGGCCCATTCCTGCTGCTGCACAGCTTATTTAAAAGACTCAAGATCAATCTGCCGAAACATTTACTTTTAACAAAAACAGCTTTGCCAAATTATTTTTAATTTTAAATAACCCAAAACTTCTCCGACTCA